AAATTTTCTTGGGCAAAGCGGGCACCGGGATAAACCTCAGGGCTGGCCCAGTGTTTTTCCTTAACAGACTAGTTGAGGTGCCACAAATGTCAGGCTCCCGAATCACGCCGTGCGGGGCCACTCTCTATTCCCGACTTCAATCAACCTCGGACCGGAACGTGCTTGGTATCGGACTTTGGGTGGAGCGAAAGGATTCAAACTCTGAATGGCATCTTACACAACGTCAGCCTGTCGGCGCTACCACCCGAATGAGAGGCAGTTTTCACCACACGGTCGGCCACGGGGCGATCCAAGATGGTTACGGCGCTTTCGAACCATGTCTCCGGGTGGATGCAAACATGGGGAAACTGCTAGCGGCGAGCTTTTCCGGAGCCCACGTACTAGCTTCCTTGAGGGCTTATTGGGCTAAGGCGCCAATCGGACTCGGGAACTGGATGGTAGCCCGGTAGGGCAAAGTCCGAGAGGGCGAAGTCCGAGAGGGAGCGATGGTTGCTGGATTGGGGATACCAAGTACAAAATGGCGATACAAGACTCCCAACTTTGCCATGCGCCATGAACACGCTTGACGGCCGCTTCCCTCGTCACCATATTCCTTGCTTCGCACCACAGACAGCGCCCCTTGCCCTGACACCAGTCCTGTCTTCGACCCCCATCCGCCCTAGCTCCGCACCGCAAGATGGGCGACCGAGCCTCCCTCTCGCCAGCATCCACCACGCCCGACCCCGACGGCGCCCGCCCCCTGGCCGGCGGCGGCGGCGGCAGCACGTCGCCGGTCCACTTCCACCTGGTCCACGGGGCCTGGCACGGGCCGCCCACCTTCGACCTGCTCCGCGCCGAGCTCGAGGGCCGGGGACATGCCACGTCGGCCTCGGCCCTCCCCAGCGTCGGGACCTCGGACCCGGACGTCGGCCTTTACGCCGACGGCGCCGCCGTCCGGGCCGACCTCGAGGGGCTCGTCGACGCCGGGAAGGAGGTCGTGCTGGTGGCCCACTCGTACGGTGGGCTGGCCACGTCCAACGGCGTCGAGGGACTCGGCGTCCGGCAGCGCGAGGCGGAGGGGAAGAAGGGCGGGGTTTTGTCGCACGTCTTCGTGACTGCCATGGCTGTGGAGCCTGGCAGGAGCCTTGAGAGTATACGACCGGATGGTGATGTTCCCGAATGGATGAATATTTCGGTAAGAAATCTTTTTTTCTTTTCTTTTGTAGACAAAAGTTGCCAGCTGTACCCTCTCGACGCCACCGAGGATGCAAGTGCTAAATACAGGTGCGCTCACAGCCTGATGGGAGATTCCGCTCCGTCGCGCCGGAGAAAGCCGAAGAAAATTTCGTAAGTGAAGCCTGCCCCTGTGGGTTCAAATGCCCAACAGGCCAGTTCGAACAACACGGCCACATGTTTGACGGGCAGCAGTTACTGCCAGTAATGCTAACCAAGTTTGAACATGGCAGTACCAGGATGTCGAGGACAAGGAGCTGGTTGCTAAAGCCATTGCCTCTCTGCGCCAGATGACGAGCAAGGCCTTCGAGGAGCCGTCACGATATGCCCCTTGGAAAAACGGCTTCAGCGTGGGATACATCTTCACCACAAAAGACGCCTGTGTACCATACCCTGTCCAGCAGGCCATGTTTTCCCAGTTCCCTGCCGGTAGCTTCACCGCCACCATGGAAACCGGCCATTCGCCATTTCTCAACAAGCCCAAGGAGCTGGCCGACAACCTCGTCGCCGCTTACAGGCATGCAAAGACGTCGTAGAAAGGGCCGAGCGGCTTCGCGGTGCTGGAGCTCTAGATTAGAGATCTTCCTGGTTGTGCAATGTAAGCCAAGTTCAATTCTCGCCATGCGGAACGCATAATGCGGCCGAGGAAAACATAACTGGTCAAATCTATGTGGACAATCAAGTGGAAGGAAAAAAAGACAAACGATGAACCCCCAACACCCAATAAAAAGGTCTTGCTCAGAGAGTCGGACCAGTACCAATGTCTCCAATGCGCCCAACGCGGGTGGGCTTCTTTGGGGGGGAAAGGTTATCGAGAAAACTGCAATCAATAGTGAGCAAATCTTCCCTTGAGGCTGCACTCGGCGACGCGATAATCCAAGAATCGGCGCCACAGGGAGCTGTAAAGAGGATGGTTTTTTTGTTGTTGAACATACCTAGGCCTGCTCACGGTAGGGCAATTGCCGCATGGAGACTGTACACACACGATGATTGAAAAGCAAGCTCCAAAAGGATGCGGAACCGGAACGGAGACAGCCTCGCCAGCCAGGATGCTCACAAAAAGCGCGATCGAGGAAGGACGCATGGCGGACGCGGCGGCAGAGGCAGGAATATTCTTTCGGATAGGGTAGGCGTGGTTGGACCGGAAATCTTGGACGCGGGCTGCGGGTTCGGAAATCGGAAATCGGAAATCGGGGCGAAAATTTGCTTTTGTGATCGTTTTGATGCGTGCAGGAAGGAGGAAGGCTTGGGGATGATGCATCGTGTAGTTATCTCGGTGAAGGGCAGAACTGACGTTTATATAGATCGAGACCCGACGCTTCTTTCGCAGTGGGCGAGGCTCATATTTGGCGAAGCCGGATAGTAATTAGTTTATTTTGCGCCGCTGAATGCTGCTGCAGTGACCTTTCCCAGTAAGCCCCCTCCACCTGGGCCTGGCCATAAGAGGGACCTCCCCACGTTTTTTTTATCGACACCATCGTGATCGTAATCCTCAGCCGCAACAGCGGCGGCGAAGTCCCTTGCATGCTGGGGGCCTCGACAGGGGCGCTGGCATGACACTTGATTTAGGGTAGGGCCCTACATATGGTTGCATACTGCTATTTTCCAGTAACCACATCTTCAATTCGACGCGACGGGGGGCTCTCGGGGCCCGACGAATCGATCCCGCGGATCGTCCCTACTTGTTATTGTGCCTGACGGGTTGGTTGTAGTAGGCAGTAAGGCCGGTTTGATGCGCTCGATGCACGGCTGACATGGCCTCGGCCGCACGCGCCCCGCGCTCGTCAGATGCTGTCGAGATATGGCGCCAGCCGGTCTGCGCCTCCTCCGACGATGCCAGCCAGCGACGAATAACGATAGCCGTGGGCTCAGAATCCCGGAAGGTAGGCGGAGCTCCGATTCCAGCAGTCGGTGGAATCAACCGATGACGCCACAGGCGAAAATGTGAACGGCCCAGGGCGTCGCAGATTGCTTGGTAGCGCCGCGGCGGCTGCGGGGAGGCGACCAGCTGATGGAGAGAATTTCAAGGCCTGTGACCTGCACGCTGGGGTCCTCTTATACAGTTTCTCCATGTAGATATCTAGCCGTAGTCAGTCTTTCTCGAGCATGTGAGCTTGCTCTGATCTGTTACTTCATCAGTGCGGGCCAAGCAAATGGCTCTTGGCGCATGACGTTTTTAATTCCGTCCAATCTATCCCAAGAAACGCACCCGAGGCTGGTCTGCCTTGTGTACCCAAAGTGATGTAATCGTGGCCAAATATCGTGGTTGAATGTCGTGGGGGCGTCTCTATTCAATAGTGTGGCGCTTCAAGGCCGTTTCTTCGATCGCGCAACAAAGTTTGCCTTGCGGAAACAAGACAGCCCCGCCGCTTGGCTCGGCTTACTCGGATAGGGGCTGGCAACCAGGGGCTGGCAACTCTAATCCAATCTGGAGGCTATAAAGTTACGCGTTATAGGTTGCCCTGACCAAAGTTTGGATGTTCGTGGACCAGGTTGATGATAGGAAGGAAGAGTCTCTCGGCCTCGACGTCCTCATCTGCCATCCTTTTTATGTCGGCCCAGGACTTCCAGGTCCAGCCCTCGCACTTGTCTGGCTCCATGACCTGTTTGGGCATTTATTAGTGTTCGGTCACTGGAAGAAGAGCGGCAAAGAGAAACGCCGCGGGCATCGGCATCTGGTTCGGGGTTTCCTCACCTGCGGCTGCAGCTCCTGGCTAGGGTCGCATGGCTCGCACTGCACAAAGAGGGTGACGTAGTGCAGTTGCGTGTCGGTGAAGACGGAGTTGGTCACGCCGGCAATCTTGACGCCCTTGACGTGTAGGCCTGTTTCCTCGAGCGTCTCGCGTTCGGCACAAGCCACTATCGACTCGCCGAACTCGAGGTGGCCGCCTGGAAAAGCCCATTGGCCTGGTGGGTGGACAGAGAGAGAACATGTTAGAACCGACTTGACTACCTCGGTGCAAAGAGTAATGACGGGGATGGACGGGTAATGGGGGACGTGGGAGATGGCAGCGGTGCAGCGCGTGACTCCTCTTTGCTGTCCGGGCAAACCGACCGCTTCCATGGGAGCCCTTGCGGCGGCCTAGGATGACCGACCCGTCCGGCCGGGCGATGACGGCAGCGACGCCGACGCGGGGGCGGTTTATGGTGTCTGAGCTCATGGTGTTGTGTTTATTGGAGAATAGTCTGGCGGGATGGATCGTCATGGGATGCGGGATGCGCCGCGGGGGGAATAATGCGGCTGTGGGATCCCTGGTTCGGATGGATGGGGGAGCTGCGTTACAGACCGGACGAACCAATCTGGTGTGGGGTTACCTCTGGCCAAGGTTGAGTGGGTCGGATGGTTGGATCCCGGGCTGCTGGTGCGGGTTCAAATGGCATTCCAAATCGCACTATAGCGGTTATAGGGGTTGCTGGTGGTGTTATTGCTGGGTATTATTGCTGGGTGTTATTGCTGGGTGGCAGTTTCCTTACAGTGCCTCACTGTGCGTGGCAAGGCACGCTCGCTTCAACTGGGCTTTTCCTCTGGAATTGACCTCAACTCCCTCGACTGCTTCCTCTCCCCGCCAGCTTCCTCCCATCCACACTCAACTGCGATCCTCAGCTCTGTCCGAGAATCATGGCGCAAAGATCGCCTGATGTGCTGCTCTTGAGAAAATCGGTAGCTCAGGCCTGTGCGCGTCGTTTGATCGGCTGCTAATCCGTTGGAGAAAGGACGGGGCTAGATGACCATCTTCCTTGTCGCGAAACGGCTGCCAAGAACAGGTCTATGCCTGCTGTCCGCCGTCGTCCGTCTCATGGCTGCATGTGGCAACTGGAGCCCCGGGGATAGAGGCATTTTTTTCGACTGCGCCTTTTTCTTTCCCATCCGCCCGTCCGCCCATCCTTGTATTTCTTGCTTCCCTCCTCGGTCCTTCGTTCCGATGTCTCCGACGTTGGTCACTTGTCAGCCATCAAACCCAAGGGAAATGATACATGCAGAGTAACTAGGTGGGTAGATGTAATGATACCCAAGACGGCCAGGCTGTTGCCGTGTCTCTGTGATTGCTTTTACCTCCTCATGCGCTCGACCCAGTGCTCCATGTCAGGATACCTGCAGGGCCATTAATCGGATGCCGTGGCGGCCGGGCAGGATTCAGAGCACTGCACGACTCCCCCCAGGGCTGGGCTGGGCTGACACAAGACGCGAGAGAAAGACGAGCAAAGTTGGGCCAAGAGAGCCAGCCCTCCGTCATCTGCTATACAGGCGGCAGACACTTGTCGAAACGCCCGTCCAACAGACGCCTGCGCCAGACGTGGGCGACGGAGACCGCCTCCAATACCAAGACCGAGGGGACAGGAAACTAATTGCCGCCCGCATGTGGCATCCGATGTGCGCCCCAGCCCGACCCCTGACCTCGCCTCTTTAACCTTAAACCCAGTCCGGCATCAGACCAAGCAGCTTGACTCACGCAGCTACATCTCCCCGCGGCCGGGAGCTGCACCCCTGCCACAGCTCCGCAGCCCGTAGCAAATAGACGCGCAGCGACTCGGAGCGGCAGTTTTGCTCATGGGCTGACCCCGGCCAGCCTCGTTAAAACCGCTCTGATCTCTGTCCAACGCTCGTCTGCTCACCTGGTTCTCTCCAAGACCCCGGCGGCTGGCTAGGGTTGTGCTGGGGAAACATGTTCTGATTCTCATATATGTGAATCCGGCCCTATGCTGCAGAATCCGGAAGCCGTGTTCCGGAATCTGCGGACCATACGCCCGCGCGAGCTTGGCTTTGCGCATTGCCACCCCCAGCCAAGTTTCCTGCCTGCTGCCGCTGGGACCTGTCGTGAGGTGAAGGCGTCCTAGGCTAGCTGTGGGAGTGCTAGCTGTACCCCTCAGGAAAACACCGCGAGGCATTTGCCTCCTGTGTCTAATGCGACTGGCCGAGCCCGGTCAGGGTTGGCTCGTCTGCTGCCGTGTCTTGCAAAATCCTGGACGGAAAGACAGCAGCTCCGGCCAGCCCTCCCGAGTATAAATCTCCTAGCCCTTTCTGCCATCTGATCTCACTTTTTGTCCCCTCTCATCATCACCACCACAGAGATCAACGAACCGGCCGGCCTTCCATTCTTTTCAAGTCTACCGCGTAGACTGTACTGTTTTATTCTACTCAGTCCTTCAGCGGCTTTCTTGTCTTCCTTGGACCTGGTGTCTCTTCGCGCTCTCTGCTGCTGCTGATTCACTTCTTGACGCTCCCTTCATTCTTTGATACCAAGCCCTCCATTCCCTGTTGATCCATTCCCTCACTCGGTCCAACCCGACGCAAACATGTTCCCCTCCAACAAGTCCACCATGTCCTGGCGCCAGCTGGCCCTCACCTCCCTGCTCCTGACCACCACCGTCTCGGCCCACCTCATCCAGCCCGGCCCTGCCGGCCTGGCCCGCCGTGGCCTGCTGCGCCGCGAGCCCACCAACCTGAACGTCGCCAGCAACGCCGCGGCCAACGCGGCCAACGCTGCTGCCGGCGCCAACAACGCCAACGCCAACGCCGGGAACCAGGCCAACAACAACACTGATGCTGGTGAGTTCAATGGTGGCAGCCAAGAGGCAGTCCAGCAGCAAGGCAAGGGGTCTGGGCTAACCAAGTGCCGCCGACGGCAACTCGCTGCAGCCAACAACGCCAACAACAATGCCAACCAGGACAACGCCAACCAAGACAACGCCAACCAAGACAACGCCAACCAAGACAATGCCAACCAGGACAACGCCACCAACGCCCAGGGCGTCGACGCCGCCTGCGAGGCCGCCATCCAGAGCCTGATCCTAGTCGCCCAGCGGTCCACCGACGCCGCCGTCGCCGCCGCCGCCGCCGCCGCCGCCCACCCGCCACCGCCGGCCGCCAAGGGCAAAGACCGGGCCGGCG